CCGGTGGACTGTCAATTGAATCTCTGCTGGCTGCTGCGAGAAACCTAGCCAAAAAAAAATCAAAGGTGTGCGCTTGAAAAAACACCTCCTTCAAGCCAGAGTCAAACCAGCAACCTAAGGATTGCCAACACTCCTACCTACAGTTCTCCGCTCTACCAGCTGAGCTATCAAAGTCATGGGGTGTTAGGCAGAACCTCAACCTATAAGGGTTCTGTAGCTCTGCTGCTGGCCAAAAATCACTTCTGGTGCAGGAAGACGTGCTGGCTTTTTAAGAAGGGAAGCAAAAATGAGCCCTCCTTCCCATACCGGGAGTCGAACCCAGGCCACCTGGGTGAAAACCAGGAATCCTAACCGCTAGACCATATGGGAACTGCATTGAAGTGGCCACAGGCTTGTGGGACACTTTTCATACGTGTGGCCAGTGTGGGGGCAGGGTTTTGGAGTGGCCTATGGCTTTTGGTGTGTGACTTAATTAAATCGTGTTGCATGCATTCAAGGGGTCTGTTGTTTGACTCGCCCAAGGGGTTCAGTTTTTATGGCAGATTCCTGTGATTGCTGAATAGATACCTCGTTATCTAGAGGAAAAACAGCCTATAGTCGGTGTGTCAAGGTACAAAAATGACAAATTGTGAGATTAACAATGAAAGTGAGAGAAATTTTTAATCGGATAAGTTGCTGATTATTCGCTCGTTCAGTTTCATTTAGTTTACAACTTATTCTCAATGTCCAGGTGGCAGTTAGGAATAAGGCTACAAAATGGCAAGCCCATGACATCAAAACCACATGGCATTACACCATTCAAAGTAGTGAAGCAGTTACAGAGTAACGATGAAGTTGTTCATTTAAGAATCAAATGACTGCCAGTGTGGAGTTTATTTCCACGTTAATCGCTGAGTTTGTCAGAGTGCTTGTGGGACGAATGGCAATCACGGAGCATGTGCGCGTCTCCCATAGACATTGGAACGGGTGTTCAACATACGGCTTTTGTGGAATTAAAGACGCGTGCTTGGAGATTTGCCTGTTCTTCTTGACTTTTCAAAAAAAAAAAAAAAAAGTTACAAATACAGCCTGAGAAAAGTAAACAGAGAGTGAACCAGTGAGGAGTCGAACCTAGAATCTTCTGTTCCGTAGTCAGACGCGTTGAGATTTGCCTTTTGAGAATAATTTATCAAAACAAGAATTATCCGAAGGGATCGTTTAATTAATTAAATCCTGTTGCATGCATTCAAGGGATCTGTTGTTTGACTCGACCCAAGGGGTTTTATTTTTTTTGGCAGATTCCTGTGATTGCTGAATAGATACCTCGAACTGGTAATTAAAGTCTTGTCCAGGTGAAAATACTCACGTCATGCATTTGAAAACACGCATGGTAACCGTTATCTAGAGGAAAAACAGCCTCCTCTTGCGCCTGTGACCTCTGCATCTGCCACTGCCAACTCTTTTTTTGTCAACTCTGCTGCTCCATCTGTGGTTAGTTGCTCAGCTCACCCTACTGCTGACATGGAGACTGCTCCTGGTTCAGAGCCTGGCTGGCTGCCTGCAAAGCTGATGGGGACCATACCACCTCAGGATCAGAAGTGGATTTCATCTGCTCTGTGGAAGAACAAGCGGCTGCGCACTGACCTGAAGCTGTGGTATGATCCATCGGAGCCAGCGCTCATTTATCATCAGGCCCCCGCTCCAGAGCGTTTTTTCACACACCGGCTTCTCTTGTGGATGCCATACCACCTTTGGAGGGTCAGGCTGTCCTGTCCTGTTTGTGGAAAACAGCTCACAGGTTATGGAGCCCACAAGAGAGCCCGCCAAGTTTTGGATGTGGATAGGTACTACCTGATGATCACGGAGACTCTCTGGTGCAGTTCAGCTGGTTGTAAAACGAGTTACATTTCCACCAGCAAGACCATCTTGGACCAGCTGGACTTGGCACACAGAATGGAGTTCCGACTGATCCTGACACGAAAGTGAGTATACTGAAATTATTTAGCCTGTGTCACAAATGTTTGTCATTCAAACACACTATAAATTTGCTTGTTTTAATGTTTGCCATTTTTTGGTCTCTTTTTCACTTTGTTTCTTAATACAGATATGCCTGTGACATACGGGTGATCCGTTTTCTGAGGGAGAGGACCTTGGGTAATAGCCCTAGCCGCTTGGTCAGGCAGGTGAGGGAAAATCACAGCGAAGAGTGGCTTAAGCGTGTTTGTCGCTACCTTGGCGCATGCTCGGACTTTGTTGTCCAGCCAAGCCTGCACCCTATCAAGTTCCACGAACCTCCTAAGCCAGTGGCTATTCCTTCCCACCGGTGGATGCTGGCTGTTTATGGCCGAGACATCTTAAGCAGAATGGATCACATAAAAGCCAGCATAACATCCACCTTTGGCAATATATTAAAAATAGATTCCACAAAAAAGGTAAATATTTTTAACTCTTGCCACTTTAAAATCCTACCTCACAAACAAACGTCTAAAATACAACATTAGCAGTAAAGACATGAAAAATGAAATTAATGCTTTGTATATAAAAAAACAGTATTATTTCAGTATTTTACATATAAAAGAAAGTTTATTTGGGCTTTAGGCATTCACTGTCTTTTCTGTGTGATCACAGATCACCAAGAAGCTATCAGGCCTTGCCAAGGGGACCGCCTTGTGGCTTACATCTGTGAGCAATGAGGTGGGCCAAATCCTCGTCAGTGTCCTGACTGCTCAGGAGGGTCCTGCTCTTGACACCATGGCTGCTGATCTCATCCGCAGGTACAGCAATGCTGGTGTGGCTCCTCCTCAGCTTCTCTATGTTGACTGTGAATGTTGTCGGGACGGCACAGGACAGACAAAACTAAAGCAAAGATTTGGTGGGTGGCCAGACCTGGTTGTAAAGCTTGACATATACCACTTCATGCGGCGACTGGCATCTGGGTGTACAAAGGATGCACATAAAAAAAAAAAAGTTACAAATACAGCCTGAGAAAAGTAAACAGAGAGTGAACCAGTGAGGAGTCGAACCTAGAATCTTCTGTTCCGTAGTCAGACGCGTTGAGATTTGCCTTTTGAGAATAATTTATCAAAACAAGAATTATCCGAAGGGATCGTTTAATTAATTAAATCCTGTTGCATGCATTCAAGGGATCTGTTGTTTGACTCGACCCAAGGGGTTTTATTTTTTGTGGCAGATTCCTGTGATTGCTGAATAGATACCTCGAACTGGTAATTAAAGTCTTGTCCAGGTGAAAATACTCACGTCATGCATTTGAAAACACGCATGGTAACCGTTATCTAGAGGAAAAACAGCCTCCTCTTGCGCCTGTGACCTCTGCATCTGCCACTGCCAACTCTTTTTTTGTCAACTCTGCTGCTCCATCTGTGGTTAGTTGCTCAGCTCACCCTACTGCTGACATGGAGACTGCTCCTGGTTCAGAGCCTGGCTGGCTGCCTGCAAAGCTGATGGGGACCATACCACCTCAGGATCAGAAGTGGATTTCATCTGCTCTGTGGAAGAACAAGCGGCTGCGCACTGACCTGAAGCTGTGGTATGATCCATCGGAGCCAGCGCTCATTTATCATCAGGCCCCCGCTCCAGAGCGTTTTTTTCACACACCGGCTTCTCTTGTGGATGCCATACCACCTTTGGAGGGTCAGGCTGTCCTGTCCTGTTTGTGGAAAACATCTCACAAGTTATGGAGCCCACAAGAGAGCCCGCCAAGTTTTGGATGTGGATAGGTACTACCTGATGATTACGGAGACTCTCTGGTGCAGTTCAGCTGGTTGTAAAACGAGTTACATTTCCACCAGTGAGACCATCTTGAACCAGCTGGATTTGGCACACAGAATGGAGTTCCGACTGATCCTGACACGAAGGTGAGTATACTGAAATTATTTAGCCTGTGTCACAAATGTTTGTCATTCAAACACACTATAAATTTGCTTGTTTTAATGTTTGCCATTTTTTGGTCTCTTTTTCACTTTGTTTCTTAATACAGATATGCCTGTGACATACGGGTGATCCGTTTTCTGAGGGAGAGGACCTTGGGTAATAGCCCTAGCCGCTTGGTCAGGCAGGTGAGGGAAAATCACAGCGAAGAGTGGCTTAAGCGTGTTTGTCGCTACCTTGGCGCATGCTCAGACTTTGTTGTCCAGCCAAGCCTGCACCCTGTCAAGTTCCACGAACCTCCTAAGCCAATGGCTATTCCTTCTCACCGGTGGATGCTGGCTGTTTATGGCCGAGACATCTTAAGCAGAATGGATCACATAAAAGCCAGCATAACATCCACCTTTGGCAATATATTAAAAATGGATTCCACAAAAAAGGTAAATATTTTTAACTCTTGCCACTGTAAAATCCTACCTCACAAACAAAAGTCTAAAATACAACATTAGCAGTAAAGGCATGAAAAATTAAATTAATGTTTTGTATATAAAAAAAAACAGTATTATTTCAATATTTTACATATAAAATAAACAGTTTATTTGGGCTTTAGGCATTCACTGTCTTTTCTGTGTGATCACAGATCACCAAGAAGCTATCAGGCCTTGCCAAGGGGACCGCCTTGTGGCTTACATCTGTGAGCAATGAGGTGGGCCAAATCCTCGTCAGTGTCCTGACTGCTCAGGAGGGTCCTGCTCTTGACACCATGGCTGCTGATCTCATCCGCAGGTACAGCAATGCTGGTGTGGCTCCTCCTCAGCTTCTCTATGTTGACTGTGAATGTTGTCGGGACGGCACAGGACAGACAAAACTAAAGCAAAGATTTGGTGGGTGGCCAGACCTGGTTGTAAAGCTTGACATATACCACTTCATGCGGCGACTGGCATCTGGGTGTACAAAGGATGCACATCCTCTTTACCCCATCTTTATGTCCAGACTGTCAAGCTGCATTTTTGAGTGGGACAGTGGAGATGTTGCCTTGCTGCGTCAAGCTAAGAGGGAACAGTTGAAACGAGAAGGTGTTCCTGGGATCACTGAACAACTAGTGGACCAGCAGATCACCAAGGAGGAACTAGCGTTGCACTGCAGGAGGCAGACAAGAGGGGAGCGGCAGACGATCATAATGATTGAACTGCTTCTTAATGAGCTCATGGGGGTAAAGGGCAGAGACTATCTTGGTGTCCCTCTCTTGGACCACGAGAGGATGCAGCACATCTGGCAAATCCAGAAGAAGCATGTGAAGTGCATTCAGGATGAACCAGGTGTCCTCCTGTACACTGTAACTGGCACCACTACCAAGGAGGGCATTGTCTTGCCAAACTACAGATGTGCAAGAGGGTCCACATCACTTGAATCATTCCACTTGCATCTGAACAGGTTCATTCCAGGTCAGTATGAATCACTTTTTATCTATCAGCAAGATTACATATTTGCAGTTAAACATTTTATTATTAGTAGTAGTAGTAGTAGTAGTATTGTTATTGTTATCATTATAGAATGGAGTTCCGACTGATCCTGACACGAAAGTGAGTATACTGAAATTATTTAGCCTGTGTCACAAATGTTTGTCATTCAAACACACTATAAATTTGCTTGTTTTAATGTTTGCCATTTTTTGGTCTCTTTTTCACTTTGTTTCTTAATACAGATATGCCCGGGTGATCTGGGTGATCTGTTTTCTGAGGGAGAGGACCTTGGGTAATAGCCCCAGCCGCTTGGTCAGGCAAAATCACAGAAATCACAGCGAAGAGTGGCTTAAGCGTGTTTGTCGCTACCTTGGCGCATGCTCGGACTTTGTTGTCCAGCCAAGCCTGCACCCTATCAAGTTCCACGAACCTCCTAAGCCAGTGGCTATTCCTTCCCACCGGTGGATGCTGGCTGTTTATGGCCGAGACATCTTAAGCAGAATGGATCACATAAAAGCCAGCATAACATCCACCTTTGGCAATATATTAAAAATAGATTCCACAAAAAAGGTAAATATTTTTAACTCTTGCCACTTTAAAATCCTACCTCACAAACAAACGTCTAAAATACAACATTAGCAGTAAAGACATGAAAAATGAAATTAATGCTTTGTATATAAAAAAACAGTATTATTTCAGTATTTTACATATAAAAGAAAGTTTATTTGGGCTTTAGGCATTCACTGTCTTTTCTGTGTGATCACAGATCACCAAGAAGCTATCAGGCCTTGCCAAGGGGACCGCCTTGTGGCTTACATCTGTGAGCAATGAGGTGGGCCAAATCCTCATCAGTGTCCTGACTGCTCAGGATGGTCCTGCTCTTGACACCATGGCTGCTGATCTCATCCGCAGGTACACCAATGCTGTTGTGGCTCCTCCTCAGCTTCTCTATGTTGACTGTGAATGTTGTCGGGATGGCACAGGACAGACAAAACTAAAACAAACATTTGGTGGGTGGCCAGACCTGGTTGTAAAGCTTGACATATACCACTTCATGCGGCGACTGGCATCTGGGTGTACAAAGGATGCACATCCTCTTTACCCCATCTTTATGTCCAGACTGTCAAGCTGCATTTTTGAGTGGGACAGTGGAGATGTTGCCTTGCTGCGTCAAGCTAAGAGGGAACAGTTGAAACGAGAAGGTGTGTTTTTTTTTCAAGTGCACAACTTTTTTTTTTTGGCTGGGTTTCTAGCAGCAAGCAGAGATTCAATTGACAGTCCACCGTTGGAAGGCAAAAGAGCATTCCCTGACCGGGAATCAAACCCTGGCCGTGGGAGCACCGAATCCTAACCACTAGACCACCAGGGAAGGGCTAGGTACTTGGTGAGCTGGTGGGCTTGTGGGCTTCACTCCTGATAACAGCATGAGAGTAAGCAGACAGCAATTCTGGCCTCTGTCATGTTAAAAAAACAACAAGTCTGGTGCAATCGAGAGGCACTTTTGTCAGTGGGCCAGAGGCGCAATGGATAACGAGTCTGACTATGGATCAGAAGATTCTAGGTCCGACTCCTGGCTGGCTCGCTCTGTATTTATTTTTCTCAGGCTGCTTTTGTAATTGTTTTTTTTTTTTCTTTTCGAAAAGTCCAGAAGAAAAGGCAAATCTCAATGCGTCTGACTACGGATCAGAAGATTCTAGGTTCGACTCCTCGCTGGTTCGCTCTTTGTTTACTTTTCTCAGGCTGTATTTGTAATTTTTATTTTTTTTCCAGTCCAGAAGAACAGGCAAATCTCCAAGCACGCGTCTTTTATTCCACAAAAGCCATATGTTGCACAACCGTTCCAATCTCTATGGGAGACGCGCACAAGCTTCGTGATTGCCATTCGTCCCACAAGCACTCCGACAAGCTCAGCGATTAACGTGGAAATAAACTCCTCACTGGCTGTCATTTGATTCTTGAATGAACAACTTCATCGCTACTCTGTAACTGCTTCACTACTTTGAAGGGTGTAATGCCATGTGGTTTTGATGTCATGGGCTTGCCATTTTGTAGCCTTATTCCTAACTGCCCACTGGACATGAAGTTGTAAACTAAATGAAACTGAACGAGCGAATAATCAGCAACTTATCCGATTAAAAATTTGTCTCACTTTC